GAAGAAATTGAGCGAGCTGCGACGAAGCTGACAGCCAATAAGGCCCCTGGTCCGGATGGTATCGTGGGTGAAGTTGTGAAGACGGCGCTTCCTATTTGTGCAGAGGAAGTCGCCGAGTGCTTTACTGCATGCCTGAGAGAGGGTGTCTTTCCACGGTGTTAGAAGACGGCGAGGCTGGTTCTCCTTAAAAAACCGGGAAAGCCGGACCTGACCAGGGGGGACAAACTCTCTCTTGGAAAAAGAGGGAACATTTTACAGCGCCACTTAGGTCTGTCCCCCCGGAAATGGCGAACTAAAATAGATCACGTGACGAGAGTGGGGGAATCACGTGGGCTAGATGTTATATATTGAAATTATATACGCGCTCGAACATCCCAGGTAGAACACGAAATCATAATAAGATCAAAATGATATCAAATAGAAATAATTTTAGGAAAATTTTTTTAAAACAAATTACTGTAAAATTATTTTCATATCAAGAATTATCTCAAAACCATCATCAAAAGTGTATGGAATGAGATATCATTATGATTTTTCCTAAAATGACTTCTATTTAATGTCATTTTAATCTTATTGTGATTTCGTGTTCTACCTGGAATATACCTATACGTGTGGATACGCACATAAGCGCGCAGGCACATAATTTAAATAAATAAGTTGTAAATGATAATTAATAAGAAACCAAATATATAATGTTTAAAAAAAGTAAAAGAATATTTATTAAAAATGTAATTGCTATCAATATATGTATGTATATATATATATATATCTTATACAAAAAAAAGTATAATTGCAACATATTTTTCCGTACCATTTAACACAGACTGCGGACTATTGGCTATATAAACGTAAAATATTGGGTGTAATAAAAAAATATATTACAAAACACGTACTAACTTAAGTAACATATGTAGAATATACTATTTATTTACAATTAAATACAGTATCTATTGCAATATATGTAGAAAAAACTAAGATGAATATATTATTATATATAAAGATAATAAAAAACCGCATATAACACTTTTTAAGCACACAAAGTTTATAATTACACTGCTACGCTTCTCTAAAAGTTATTTTTTTAAATGCTCATGCAATCGCTCCACAATTAAACATTAATCAAACATATTTATGTTAAGAAATTAAAAAAAATTAACATTTGCAAAAACGAAATATAAATATGCAATTATTTACGTTTTTTTTAATATAATTTTTATAATCTTGTAAAATTTGTTTTCTTTTTGTTATATCATTTTTATAAGACTCACGCATTCGTTTCATGTCACACACATTACTTATCACATCGTGCTGTAACATTTCTACGTTTTCGTTATTAATAATTAGTTTATTTTTGTGATTGCACCACCATACAATATTATTAATCGCAATAATACGCACTACAATTTTGTATATGTTAGCATGATGTTCTGTACATTCATGCCAATCCATATTTGCATTCCAATTTTCTAAAAAAATCTACCAATACCTTTAAAATATTACGACAATGAGCCCTAGTCTTTAATAATTTATTTATAATGAATGTTATTTGTTTCATACAAAATAGGAATGAATTATTTTTTAAGCTGTTTCCACAATCCGAACAATAATTAACTTCTTTAAGAATTAATTTTATAATTTCATTTTGATGATCTACAGAAGACGCAAGAATAATTTCTTCAGTAACATTATTATCCGTAATTAATTCAGATTTTTCATCGTCGTTACAAATAATACTACGCATATTACTTTCTAAATATTTTTCAAATGTACATAACATATCAGAATTGTCATACGTAATTTCACAATTACCGCGATGCATTGAAATATGTTGCATATTATTTACGAGCAATGTAAAAAATGATTCTTGAAATTGACGAGGTGTTGGATTGATATTACGCATCGCATGACTACGAATTTGTCCAAAAAAATTTTCTAACGGGTCCTGATTACAAAATCTAGTATTTAATTTTGTAAAATTGTAATTTTTACTTAAAATTATCCATAATTTTTGAAACCCGTCTATTGTCGACAACCAATTTGTTAATGTTGGTACAAATTTCACGATTGTATGTGATAGCTTATCAATAAATGTCAAATTACGCAGTATATTTTTCGCACTTGCCCAAAATATATGATGATTACTTTCCTCTGTAATGGAACAACGCAATTCATTATTATCCTCTCTTCTGTCATCTCCGTTCACGCTGTCAAAAAGATTATTAAAAAAATTCACTACTGTTGCTGTTGCTATCCCTTCTTTTTCACTTACTTGTACATCCTCATTGTTTATGGATACTTTACCTATAAAAATATATTAACACAAACGTTTAATATCTTCTG